GCTCAGCCAGCGAGCGGCCGGTCTGTATGTGGGATCCGAACCCTCGGCGGGAGCGCCTCCGCACTTCCCAAGCGGCGCACTCGCGCAGTGCGCCACCGGGCCGGCCCAAAGTTATTGTTTTTCTATGTCAACTTTTATTAATTTGTTTTATCTTTATTATTCTCCCCCTTCTGCTTCCCTTGGTCTTATTTTATATTTTTTTCTAACTTCATAAGTAGAATACTTAATTTGTTTTTATCATTTTCTCACTGTAGCAGATACTGAACCCTGAAAACACATTCCAACCAGCCCCTTTCTGTTTGCCTTCCTTTTCTGGCTGGAAAACTAAAAATCAAACTTCCTGGGATACAGACATATGACTTAATGTCTACCATGCAGACATAACCAAGTGAGACTTGAATGTAGGAGGAGTAAGCAATGCATAGGGAAATAAGATCATGAGACAGAGACAGCTGCTTTCTCTGATATGACATTCTTGAACTTATCAGTGCTTAAGGCCAAGTGGTCATAGAAAAGCACGCTGCTAAAAAAGTTATGTAGTGTGGGCATTTTTCCCTGATGCACTTTTTCGGGTTCTGCAGGATGCAAGTGTGGTTCTCTAGACTTCCAAAAAATCTGTGAATTAGATTCTATTGTTAGCAACTGAGAACTGTGAACAATGCACTCATTTAGTAATTTAAGTGCTAACAGCCATTAATTTTCCTCTGAGCATAGCTTTAGTGGAAATCATAAGTATTTTAAAAATATTCTGCAATTTCAATTTTCATTTATATGTTGAACCAAAAGTTGAGGTTTTATTTTTCTATTATTTGTTCATGTCCTTTTCAAAACAAATTTATAGTTTGATTGCACTCTAATGAGATAATATAATCTCTACTATATTTCCGCATTCTGGAATTAAGGGGCTTTCAGGGGCTAAACGTATGTTGAATATTTTGTAAGTGTTCCGTGAACACCTGTAAAGGTGACTTTTGTATTATAAAGGTACAGTTTTCAGAAATAATTCATTGTTATAAAGTATATTATTCAGATCCTTTATACCCTTAGGGTTCTTTTTCTTCTTTTTATAACCAGGGCTGATACTACTTTATTTGTTTTTATTTACATTTTTGTGATTTTTATGTACTTTGATGTATTATTTAAATGATAAATAACAATTCACGGCAGTTCGATCTTCATTTTGGATATTTATAAAGTACCCTTTTTTTTGTCTCATTCAAAACTTTTTGCATTGAATTCACTTTTCTAATATTAATGCCATGACCCTTCAGTAGTGTTTGCCTTATATGCTTTCACCCATCTTTTTACATTCATACTTTCCATTACTTTGTTTTATATGCATCACGATATATAGCATGTAGTTGTATTTTTTTTTTTTTTTACTAATCTGTACTTCCTTTAATAAGCAATGTTTGGCGTTCTGTTAATTTGTTTTTTGGGGTTTTTTTTGTATCTCTATTTTTATTACTTCCTTGATTTCCTATAAGGCAGTGTTATCCAAAAGGAAAGTTTTCCACAATGATGGAAATGTTCTACATCATTTAATACAATAGCCACAAGCTACACGTGGCTATTGAGCACTGGAAATGTAGCTAGTGTGACTGACAAATTGAATTTCAAATTTTACTTAACTTTAAAGTTCATGATAAATTAAGCAGTCATACACAGCTACTGGCTACCTTATTGGACAATACAGCTACAGAAGATGTGTTTTGTTTTGCTGAATATATGTATGTTCTTTCTGAAATATGAAAGCTTTATATTCTAACTTTAGTTCTTTCTGTGGTGTTATATTAGTCCATTTCTGTTGCTTATAACAAAATACCTGAAACTGGGTGATTTATAAAGAAAAACAAAATTTATTGCTTACAGTTTCTGAAGCTGGGAAGTCCAGAGTCCATCTGGTGGTGACAGTGACCCAGGGGTCTCACATTGCAAGATGGTAGAAGAAGAGAGAACAGAGCAGAGAAAGACACTCTCCTTTTCTTGTAAAGCCCTCAGAACTACGCCCCTGACCACCAATTTTAATCCATTCACTACTGCATGGTCCTATAATCCAATCACCTCTTCAAGGCTCTTCCCTTCAATTACCATAATAGGATTTCCCACCCTCTCAACAGTCACAGTGGGGCCTAAGTTTCTAATACATAAAACTTGAGGGACACGATTCAAGCTTCAATGAGTTTTGGGAAGACATAATTCAATCCACTACAGCTGTCATAAAACTTTAGATGAAATAATTGAACTATGAAAGCTAAGAAAATTAAAGCAAATAAACTTTTTCTTCTTTTATCTGCTCTCCTGTCTATCTCTCAATTTTTGTTAGTATCACTTTTTGCATTATTATAGGCTACAACATTTATATTCTATCTTTAACCATAATTCCTACAGTGGTGTAATCTTACTTCTATAATTGAATAATTCAGTGCTCACTGCTAGCTCATTTCCTACAATCTGTCACAAATTTCACTCTTTTAACTTTTGGATTATTACAATTTGAATTTGTAATTTTGTTTTTCAAAAAAAAGCTCATAGGTGTATGGTTCCTGAATTCTTGTGTTTGAAAGTCTGCTTGTTCCGGTACTTGAATGACAACTTGCTTAGCTATACTATTCTTGGATCTCATGTTCTTTTTTGTCAAACCATTGGTTGTTCCCTATTCCCTATTCACCACTGTCACAGGAATTCTAGGTATAGTCCTCTCTGCCACCGTTAGATAAAAACAGTCCCAGCTCCTGACAGAAATCAAGGTCAATTACCTCTATGAATATACTAGCTCCTTTCTTTAACTTCATGAGCATGAAGAATCCAAAGTGACCCAATAGTAGTCATCATTCCAAATATACAAATTGGCTCACTTCCTGCCCCAGGACTTCTCTAACACAGGAGTGTGGGATGCCTGTGGCTGCACCCTGTCACTCAGACATGTATAATCCTGAAGTGTTGGGTATTTCTGTGCTGGAGACAATCCTCAACCAACAGGAACCAGGAGCCAATGGGTTAAATGTTTCTGCCCTTTCATCCCTCAAAAGCATTGTCCCCTGGGAAACAGGGCCTCTAATCCACATTAGAATGGGGATGAGATGCTGTCTTAGTCCATTCCTGCTGCTATAACAAAATACCTTAGACTGGGTAATTCATAAAGAACAAAAATTTATTTGCTCACGGTTCTGGAGGCTAGGTAGTCCAAGATCAAGGCACCAGCAGATTCAGTGTCCAGCAAAGTCCTGTTTCTCATAGACGGCACCATCTAGGTGTACTCACATGGCAGAAGGGACAGGAGGGAGGGAGGCAGCTCTCTGAAGCCTCTTTTATAAGGACGTTAATCCCATTCATGAAGCGTCTGCCCTAATGATCTAATAATAACCTCCTAAAGGCACCACCGCTTAATACTATTGCATTGGGAATTAAATTTTAACATGAGTTTTGGAGGGATACAAACATTCAATCCATAGCATATGCATAAATTCTACAAGTGGGTCACTGGGAGTGAGGGTGAGATCACCTCTTGATTCCAGGACCCACATACTGTATTTACTGGTGACAGTACCATATACTGGCCATCAATTCAATGCACATACTGCATCCTGGAGGGTCCAAACGGATTGCATCCAATCTCACAGGGTCCTATCTCCAACCTAGTACTTCAACTGAGCACCATCCCATTAGGCTGCCTGTTCCTACATGAAACAGAATATGGTAAAACTATTGGATCTCACGGTCATGAGCTCACTGTCACACTCCTTTTGTCATAAAATGGGTGACAATACCATGCAGATACTATGACAATAAATCAAGAAGAGCTATTTGTACCACAACTTGGATCTACTGCAAACCCCTTCACTTTATATTTTATGGTGTTTTTGATATGCAAGTTAAAAACAATTTTTATGTAGTCAAATTTATCTACTTTTTCTTTTATTGCCTCTGGAATTTTAAGTCATAATTAACAAAGCTTTACTCTATACTAAGGTTAAAGAATACATTCATGTTTTCTTCTAGTACATGTACAGTTTCATTTTTCTACATCTATAATCCTTATCCATTTGGAGTTTACTAATGTGTATGATATGAAACATGTATCTACTTTTATCTTTTTCCAAGCAGCTATTCAGTTGTCCCAGCATCATATTTTAAAAAGTATATGCTTACCCCAGTAATTAGAGATACCATCTTACTAAACAGTATGCCACCACACTAAATTTCCATATGCATTTGGGTCTAATTCTGTATTTTCTATTTGTTTCAGAAAATTCTGAAAAATGTAGATCAGCTTGACCAAGGTGACACATTACAAAGTCACCACATAATTTTATTCCACCGGTCTATTTGTCTATTCGTGTGCCAGTATCATACTGTTTTAACTGTACAGGCCTTAATGATTTACTCACTGGAAGTGAGTCCCCTCCTCACCCCATCTCGCCTAACCCACTGCCCAGGTTTTTCCTTTTTCAGTAAGTTCCTGGCTATTCTTACCTGTTTGGTTCAACTTGCTTAACTCTACAATATAACCTGTTGATATTTTTATTAGGAGCACATCGAATTTCTAAATTAATTTAGGAAGGAGTGAAATTTTTATAATGTTGGCCTATATAAAAACAGAGCATATCTTTACATTTGTTTAAATGTACTTCGAGTTTTTCAGGAGTATCTTAGTCTGTTTGGGTTGCTATAACAAAATAGTATGGACTGGGTGGCTTATAAACAACAAACATTTATTTCTCACTATCCTGGAGGCTGGGAATTCCCAGATCAAAGCACTGACAGATTTGGTGTCTAGTGAGGACCTGTTTCCTGGTTCACAGATGGCACCTTCTTGCTGTGTCCTCATATGGAAGAAGAAACTAGTTAGCTCTCTGCAATCTTTTTTATAGGGGCATTAATCCCAATCACAAGGGCTCCATCCTCATGACCTAATCACCTCCTAAAGGCCCCACCTCCTAATATCACCACCTGGGAGGTTAGAATTTCAACATATGAATTTTGTGGGGACATAAACATTCAGATCATAGCAGGCTTTTTAACTTTTTTTCCTCTTATAAGTTTTGTACATTTATTGTCAAATTTATTCCTATGTATTTATTTAATCTTTTTGGTGGTTGTTGTAAATGGGGTCTGTCTACCATTATGTCCTCTATAAGTTGTTTGTTCATATGAAGACTACTGACTTTTATATCTTAATTTTATATTTTGCTACCCCACTAAATTCTTTTATTATTTGAGTTCATTGTATCATTGATTATCTTGGGTTTCCAGGTATTCTATCACATCATCTTAAAACACAGATAGTTTTACTTCTTTGTTAATGTATTCTTATATTCAAATTGCTTTCTCTTGTCTAACTACATTACTTAATACTGTGGTGAACAGTAGTGAAGATAATGACCATCCTTGCCTTATGCCTAACCTTAGTGGAAACACCTGTAGTGTTTCTTCAATCAAAAAAACAAAAGGGTCATTTTTGGCAACCTGAGGATTGAATTGTGTCCCCCAAAGTCCATGTATTAGAAACTTAACCCTCTACTGTGACAGTGTTAAGAGGATGGGAAATCCTACTACAGTAATTGAAAGGTGGAGCCTTGAGAAATGATTAGATTGTGAGGACTATACCCTGTTGAATGGATTAACCCACTGATGATTTAATGGTTGTCATGGGCATGGTTCTGACGGCTTTAAAAGTAGAGCCAATGAGGAGTTAGCTCTCTCTTGCTTCTGCTTTTTCTTAGTGGGATACACTGTGTTGCTGAAGTCATCACCAAAAAGGCCCTTGCCATATGTGTTCCCTGGACTTTGGACTTCCCAGCCTCTGAAACTGTAAGCAATAAATTTTGTTTTCTTATAAATTACCCAGTTTCAGGTATTTCTGTTATAAACAACAGAAACAGACTAATACATTGTACTTCCTAAGAAAATTATCCATTACATCTAGGTTTCAGACTTATTTCAAAGAGTTCAGTAAATTTGTCTTTTTATATTTCTTCTGTCTCAATCATTATTTTTCCCTTGTCATTCCTTATTTTGTATAGTTATGCTTTCTCCTTTTTTCTTGATCAATTTAGCAAGTGGTTTGTCTATTTTGTTAGTTTTTTCAAAAAGCAAGATTTTAATTTAATTAGATGTATTTTTCTATTCTTTTCCTTGCTAATTTGTTTTTTATATTACTTCTATCATTAGGGTGAAGCATTTGATATATATAAAAAATATCTACCCTACTAGAATGTTGTTTAGATTGTCTATGTGCCACTTATTTTTGTCTACTTGATCTCTCTTGTACCAAAAGTGGATTAATAAAACCTCCTCTTATTCATATGTTTCTGTCTATATCTCTTTGCCTCTCCCATGGTTTTTGCTTTATAAAAGTTGGTGTGGTTATTTCTTGCATAAATATTAATGTCTCATACCTTCATTGTGGATTATGGCTTTAAATTATTATAAAATATCCTCTTTTTTGTCATGTTTAATTCTTTTAACCTTGAGTTCTACTTTGTCTAACATCTCCTTTACTTTCTTTTTGTTTCCATTTTCCTGTTATATTTTTGTCCATCCCTTTATTTTTTGCTTCTCTGAATTACTTTGCTTTACATGTGTCTCTTGCATATATCAAATGCACTGGGTTTTGTTCGTGAGCCAAATTAAATTTTTTTCTTTTAATATATGGGTTAACAAGCCCATTCATACTTATTGTTATATGCCTGATGTATTTGATTTTAGCACATCTACAATTACATGTATTCTGTTATACTTGCTATGTTTCTATCTCTAAGAGATGTGTATGCTTTGCTTTTAAAAATTTGGTATTTAGGAAGATTTGGATTTTTTTTCTAGTAAATACCTTTGTAATCAAACTTTTTTTGAGGACCTTAGTTCCTTGTTTTTTCATTTAACTTATTATGCATGGATTAATGGGGTTTGGTTTTTCTTTCAATACTTTTTAACATCAGCCTGTTGACTATGAGCTTTTTCTATTTTACTCCTTCCCTTTCCCTTCTCCATTTTTTAATCATATTGCTTCTTTGTCACAGTGTATAACATTTGTACATTAGTCTTCCACCCTCATTTCCACTGTTTTACTCTTATATGAACATTTGGGTGGACTTTATTTGTTTTAGGGACAGTGAAGGGGTTATAAGTCCTCTAATTTTGTGGTTCTCTTTTGTCTTCAAGGACCGTAAATACCTGCCTTTCCTTCTTTTTCCTCTTCACCACCTGATTGGCAAAAGGTACTTCTTTATTCTTTTCTTCTTTTTTTTCTTCCTGGAGAAGTATGTGTTTGGAACACTGTCCCTTTATATTGTGCTGGTCCTTTTAAATTACACTTGCCCCTTTATATTGAGTAACTCCCTTTAAATTATGTGCCTGGCCTTTTATGTTGTGTTTAAACCTTTAAATCACGTATGCTTTGAAATCTCTTTCCCATAGTAAATCCTCTGATCTTCCCAGTTAGTTTTTTAGTATTTTCAGATTTACAACAATTTTAATCTTTCTGGTGGTTGTTCTAACTCAATCTTTGCTAACCTCCCTCTTCCACCTATCCTGCAACTTTTATGGCTGGGCATTGCTTGCTCCAAGGCTTTGCGGGTGGGCAGGGGTTGGAGGGGAGACATGAGGAAATCACCTCTCTAGAACGTGCTGATTTTTCTCTTTTTACTCAAAGTTGTTTTGCACTTTTTGGTACTCTCTGTTTTCATGTAATTCTGAGGGTATGGTTTTATGTAGAACAGTTGTAGTTGTAAAACTATTTCCTATCATTTAGGAAAGAGATTTTGAGAGGTTGATTAGTACACAGCCCCCACTGCCTTCAACTAACCAGAAGCCAATTTGTGTCATTTTACTGGTGTGTTTAGACCAATCACAGTTAATGTGATTACTGATACTGTTGGATTAAAATCTACGGTCGGTCTTGCTAGTTTGATATTTATTTGTTCCATATGGTTTTTTTTTCTTTTTTCCCCTTTTCCTGCAGTTTGGTTAATTAAACATTTTTTATTTCATTTTATCTCCTTTGATAGCTTATTATTTATATATCTTAAAATTTTTTTTTAGTTGTTGCCCTAGTTGTTTTAGTTGTTTACAATTTGTACCTTTACTTAATTAGTCTACTTTCAACTAATAAATCACTTCATGGCTAGTATAGGACCCGACAAGAGTATATTCCCAATACTGCCCTCCCAACCTTTCTACAACTGTTCACAGATATTTTACTTTTACATATCCTTAAACACATTACACTCTCCTATATTGTTTTAGACATACAGTTATCTTCTAGAAAAAACTTTTAAAAAGAAGCAATGTGAATGTTAATTTGCCTTCACTTATTCCATTTCCAATGCTTTTCATTTTTGTGTAGCTCCAAGTTTCTGCTTGGTATCACACTCCTACCATCTGAAGAATGTCCTTAAACATTTCTTGTGGAGTGAGACAGCTACCAATAAGTCCTCACAGTTTTTGTTTGACAAAGAAAGTGTTTACTTCTCCATCATTTAAAAGATATTTTCACTAGGTACAGAATTACAGGTTGACTCTCCATTGCCTTCTAGCTTGCATGTTTTCTGAAACAAAAAGTCTGATGTATTCTGTTGCTGTGTATATAATGTTTCTTTCTTCTTTGGCTGCCTTCAAAATGTCCTCTATGAATTTTCTTTTTGGTACTTTGACTGATATGCCCAGGACATGTGTGCATGTCCTGCTTGGTCAAACCAGGGTATCAAGAGGAAAAACAAGCATGAAACTCACTGATGTTATATTGGTCATTCATTAAGTATCACTTTCTCTCCCCAATTCACCTACTATTATTTACTTTTCGGAGGCCTCACGTGGTTGGTTTTCTATATCTGACCAGAGTTTTTTTTTTAATAATCCTTGGGAAAAATGGGCTGCAGTGTCCTTACTTCATCTTGGCTAGAATTAGAAGTCTCCTGGCTTTCACTTTTATTCATTGTTGTTCATTTCATTAGGTTTTGGAGAAGGAAGTTTTATGACTTGGCATCTTTTCATCATCTTTCCTCAAAAGTCTGCCACAATTTCATTTTAAAAGAGAGTTAGTGTTAATCCAAATAAATCAGGACAGTTGGCTTGCTGCGCAGGAGAAAGGGAAAGGAAACAGGAGACAGAAAGGTTTCTCAGCACCCATTAAACCCACCTTTCTCCACTTCTATCTATGTGTGTGTGCTTTCTTGAGATAGAGAGGAAGGTAAATAATCTGTATGATCCCAACCCGTTGCCTGAAGAAGAGAGAAAACAGAGATCGTCCTTTGTTTAATACAGGCCCTGCTGTTTAATACAGGCACTTCTCCAGGTATTGAAGACACAAAGTTATAAGACATAGTTCTTGTTCTCAAGGAACTAATAGTCCAGAGGGCAGAGAAACATGTAAAGAAATAATTACAGTACAATGTATTAAATACTAGAATAAATGTAAAAACAAAGTGCTATGTGAGTAATAACAGAGGAGACAATGACTAACTGTCAAGAAGAGCAGGGAAGTCAATATTTATCATGATATGTATTTGAGCTATGTGGAAAGGAAATAAAATAATTCCAGGCACAGGGAGAAATATGTACAAAGATACAGGGTATCAAATAGCATGATGAGTTTGGGAAATAGCAACAGCACTGATATGAAGCCCAGGGAATGCCAATATTTAAATGCCAATATTTCTTCTGAAAAGCAGCCACTTCTGAAGTAGAATAAAATGGAGTAATCAGAGATGACAGGAAATTCAGGACTATGGTTTCTGAAAGCCAAAGATGGCAGAACTTCAGGAAGTGTTTAACCATGTTAAAACTGGGAGAGAGGTCAGGTAAAATGTAAACTGAAAATTTGTTT